TAGGAGCACACCTTGAGAGAGTTCATCATCCTAATTTTCAAATGATCCCAAGAAGCCAGACACCTGACCCCATTTCATGAAATAATAAGGACACTGGGCACGAGGGTGCACTAGAATGTGATTCATAACTGATTTAATTAGATCAAATAATGAAATTTTTACCTTGACCAAAACTGAAACCCAATGCTCCGGGATTTGAGTTTGTCTTACACTCAAATCCTCCTGGCAATTGGGGACATTCCAATATCACATATAAATTTCCTATTCTTGGCCTTTTATATGTGATATTGTATTTCATTTTATTTGTTTGTCTTTTTCCTACGATTTACTTGTTTCTGTTAAGTCTTTTTCATGTCATACTTTCCTCTTTTACACAGTGGATAATAGCTAAACTTAAGGAAGCAATGAACCTACCAGGTGTACAGGTTTAATTTATATTACAGCATTTTATTTTCTCAGCATGTTATATTGTTTTTATATCATGTTATACTACTCTTTATAGCATGTTATACTCTTCTTTCAGCAGGTTATACTGTCTTTCCTTTTTACTGTACAGTACATTGTTACTTTTCTTTCACACTGCATGCTTAGTTACTTTGATATGTTATGCCTTAGTATAGAATAATCTAGTGGTTAGGAGCATGTTCAAAACTAAAACTGAACCAGGAGATGCTATTACGAAGAGTTTGGAGCGAATATCGTGGGCAGCATGACGAGGAATAACTTCAAGGTGGATCTGCAGCAGCTAAACATCAAAACACATCACATAAACATATTTATATCGCATATTACCTTCTTTAGTTTAAATAACAACTCATAGGATCACTCTTAAGGCTTTTTGTACAACTCAGTTGTACAATTATGAGTCCTAACGCTTCAGAATTCCGAGGTTACCGTGCGGTCGGTGTAAATTCTCCTATCTTTTTAGGTTATTTGCACAGTCCGATATTGTGTAAACATAAGTCCTAAATCATAAATAATTTGCAAGATTAAAATATCAAATTATATCATTTCAAAAGACATAAAGCCGAACAATAAGATGGTTGGGACATCTCCGGGGTTTCTCCTGGATCTGTGATATCCCCTACTTTTCTTCTTTTCGGATTCCTTAAATAATTGTTCCTATTTTGAGTCATTCCTATTTGATTTTCCCATAACCAATCGTGAAAACCTAAACTTTGAAATCTTGAAAGCAAAACCATTTGATCTTAATCGAGAGTTTTATTAAGTGATTTCGATCATTTAAGATGTAATTAACTATAGGGGTTTGCCTCTATATGGAACCAGGAACCCAGATAAAATAAACCCTATCTAATTTTTTATGTTAGGTAGGGGAACTTGTTGGTCTTTTTATAAAATATTTCACAGACCAATATGAATGTCACAAATTCTTTAGTTTAGGTGATTGAATCTCTATTACAAGTGATATATTTATTCTTCGGGATAAGTGTATTACCTGTAGTATTGTATTCAATCATCTAAACTATTTAAATGTGAGACCCATTTGGTCTCACTTATTTTAAAAATTAAAATGTTACTTTTAAAAATCAAAAAGGGTTATATTTATATTTAAATTATTTTTAAAATCACAAAATCATTCACTTTTTCAAATCAATAAGTTAAAAAAAATGGCCGACATGTACATATCTAAAGCGTTCACAATAATTTGATCACTCAAACGAAGGCCTATAGACTCCAATTTAATCCTCCATAATTCAAGTTTTCCTTTAAACTCCACGGTAACATGACGAGAACTGAAAAAATATACATGCTAGTCAACATTGTAAATCAATATATAATTTGTTTAGTAATTTATAAGATTAAAATAACCATTCAAGTTATTTCAAATTATTTAATTATAAAGTGCAATGTTTTACATTATTAATACCATTTTATATATTTGCATTCGTCATATAAACACCATCTAAAATTGTACAAATTAAAGTACGTTAATATTAATATCATTTTTGAATCTAGATAGAAACTAACTTAGCATCTCTGATTTGTACCATAAAAAGATAAATTTTATCAATTAAGCAAGCACATGCAAGTAAATTATATAAATCCTAACAGACAATTCATGTTATTTGTTTCATCATGATAAATCTATTCCATAACAAAGTTAAATCATAAAAAAATTTACAATAATTGTTGACTAAATAATAATCATTAATATATTAGATTTATAAAAAAAATATCACCAATATTTAGAATTATCAATGAATTCCCGAATTTTAAGTTCTTTCGCCTAATTTATGATTTATTAATAAAAAACCTATAATGACATGTGTAAAGTATCCTTACTAATTAATTTTATTTAAATTCAATTTAATTTCACTGATTCATATAATTTTATCAATAATTAAATAGATTAATTAATGTTATTATTATTTTATTTACTAAAAAAAATCTATCATTCAAATATAAACATATGTTTTGCATAAGTTCAACTTTACATTTTTATAAAATTTTAATTTAATATTTTATTATATATTTACCTAAAACATATTTTATATTTTCATACCTACAACTCTTTAATATCTTCATGAATCCTTAATTGATATCATTAATGATCTTATTTTCAATATGAGATTTTTAATAAGATTTTAGTACTATTAGAAATTTCATATATGTTTAATATAAAGTGGATTCTTAACATCTCAAACTTTAAATATATTATTATATAATTTTGAAATTAACATTCAACATTAACTAATATATAAAATTTTAATTATATGACTAACCTCAACAGCAACAGCAAAAACAACAATTTATCCCCACTAAGTGGGGTTGGCTAAATGAATCATTCTTCCTCCATTGTGTCCTATCGATTGTCATATTTTCATTTATATCTAATAAATTAAAATCAATTTATTTTTATACAACATGCCCAAGTATACAACATGCCCAAGTCTTTTTAGGTCTACTTCTACCTTTCTTGAGAAAAGTTGAACCTAAAACATCTACTCTCCTAACTGGATCATCAAATGGTCAATGTTTAATGTGATCAAACCATTTGGACAACACTCTTTAATTTTGTCTGCTACTGAAGCTACATCAACCCTTTCAATCATATATTTGTTACACATTTTGTCTTTAAGTGTCAAGTCACTCATCCACCTAAGCATTCTCATCTCAGCAACACTTAACTTAGTTTCATGTTTCTCTTTTATAGGCCAACATTCTACACCATAAAACATTACAAGTCTCACCGCCATCTTATAAAAATTTTCTTTTAAGTCTAAGCACTATTTTTCTAACACACAATGGACCAGATGCATTCCTCCACTTCAACCATCCAACTTGAATTTCACTAATAACATCCCCATCTATAATCACCATCACTTTGAAAACGGTCACTCCTTTTAATGATTTGATCACTCATTGTAACAACTCTGCCACTAGATCTACTATTAAAATTACATTCCATGTATTCAGTTTTAAATTTAATCAAACAAAGACCTTTAAACTCTAAAGTAAACCTCCATGATTCAAGTTTTTTTCTGGACTCTTACTCTAAACTTATCCATAAGAAGGATATCATCGGCGAAAAGCATACGCCAAGTTACATCCTCCTAAAATATCCAGTAAGGCCTCCATAGAGAAAGCAAAAAATATGGGCCTAAAAGTGATCCCTAATATAATTCAATTGAAATAGGAAATACTTGGTCATCAATCCTCCTTGTGCTCAAACACAAGTAACAACTCTAGTATACATACTTTTAATGACTTTAATATAAGTCATATCAACACCTTCCTCTTCTAGAACTCTCCAAAAAACTTCCTGTGGAACATTATCGTAAGACTTTTCTAAATATATAGAAATTATATGTAGATCCTCCTTACTCTCTCTTTACTTCTCCATCAAACCTCTTGATAAATGTATATCTTTCATATCTTTTTTATTAACCCCTTAAGCTAAAATCTTAGAAAATACAAATTAATTCTAACTTTACAATTTAAATCTAAGGGTTAAAATTTATTCAAAAGAAAATTTTAAGTAGAAACTTTTCCTACTTGGACAACACAATTAAACTAGTTTTATATTCTTCAAATGGCTACTTCAAGCATGTCATCTCGTTCGAGTCCGCAAACCACTCAATCTCACTCGAGTGAGAACGATCCTTTGTCACCTCTCAAGCAAATTATGTCGCCTTTCCATTTTGCCTGCTTGATTCTATCCCTCTTTCCCCCATCAACCTAGTCTTATAAGCATTGAATCACACTCACTTCGCCTTTCTATCTAACCCCACTTTATCTCCCTACGGAATAACAAAATTCAACATTAGTCGGTTCAATATTTTCGCTCTTTTTTTTTTCATTTGACAAGGGGTTACAATAATCCATTAACTTTTATGTTTTCAATGAGTCATTAAATTTCCAATCTTATCAACATACGCTTAAAAATAAAAACTCCAAAATTTTAAGATTTCATTTCAAAATAAAACCATCTCCATTCATGCATTTCAAGGTAGAAACTTTTAGCTTATTTTTCCTTTTTAAGATGTAATTTTTAAGGTCCTCCTTCATGCACTTGTTATTTGAAGGAGATACCTTCATGTGTTTTAGTTCCAAATTGCCTAGCTAAATATCCATTTCAGTGATTCGTACGTTATTAAACAATTTCCATAGAGGCCTGAAGAAAAAATTAAACTTGCAGAGCTCACCATACTAAACATTGTTACATGCTGTCAATTTTTATGCATTAATTTCACTTTGTTTTAGTAAACGAGGTTTTTTTTTTTTGGTCCATTTTTTCTTCTTTACACAGCCAAGGGATCACTCCTTGAAGTATAAGCAATCTTCTGCCATAGAGTATTATTTTGTTGCCAAACATGTGGAAGACAATTTAACACCAATTGCGGCTACCTATATGTCAGCTAAAAAGTTTCAATTTAGGACGTGTAAAAAGCCATCAAATCTATAATAAACAATAACCACTCAAAGAAATCTCAAACAAAAGAATGATGTGGTCAAATGTAAAAAGAACAAAATCTTACCTTCATGGGTCCCTCATGCGAGTTCGAACAAAATATTAGTGTGCTATATTTCCTAGGAAGACATGAGAAAAACAGAAAACACTCAGTGATACAAGACAATTGACCATGAGTAATATGCCAATAATAATAATAATAATAATAATAATAATAATAATAGTAATAATAATAATAATAATGGTGATAATTAGTAATATTTACCTACCCATTGGACAAACATCTTTCAAGAAATCGGGATGCCTTTCCTGTATTCGCAGCATAATTCATCGTAGGAAGCTCTTCCATGTACAATTTTAGCGCTTCCTACATATTCATGTGTAAAAACATCTCAGTAAAATTTTGCAAAGACTGACGCAACGCATCAAACTTAAGAGGAAGATTTTTGAAATTAGACTTCATTACTTTAGCCACAAAAAATTCAATTGATAAAAAAATGGAATGTAGGAGGAAAATCATGAGAGAATAAGACTTTGATCCTTTAATAAGGCATATCTAGGCATAACACAAAAAATTTCCTAAATATTATTATATTGAGATGCATAGAATTAATACTTGGGCAAAATTAAAATATGGCAAAGCAATGCTATATTTTTATCAACATTTAGAGATGAGAAGAAAAATGCTAGCAGAATAACTATAGTTTTTATATTTCAAATAGAACCCTAGTTCAGTTCCAATGACTAAGATTTCTATGAAACCATCAACAGAAAAGCTGGCTCAATCATCATCCACTGCATGAGGGCAAAACTTTCTAGTTTGTTGTGTGAATCCATCAATAATGAGATAGTATCAAGTAACAATTTTGAAAATAAAAAAAGGAAAATTTACACAGGTACCATTTAAGTCCTATATATTTGAATATCTTACACCTAAATTTCAATTTTTACATGTCACCATACCTATGCATGAAAAGGTGTATTTTACCATATTATAGAAGTTAAATGGTGGCATTTTTAATGTGAAATGAAAATTTTGAGTGGTATTAATGTAAAAAGGTAAAGCTTAGGAGTTAGATATGTAAATACATAGGAATTATGTAGTTTGCATGTAAATACCTACAAAAATATAAAGGTACCATTTTTCATCCAAAATGTTCATCATGGCGATTTTACAACGTTGGAATGCAAAAAAATACGCATTATGAGATAGAATTAATCACCTGGAGTAGAGATTTACTACGACTGTCTACATCTTTTGGGTTCAGGAGCATAAAGGTGTGATCTACCCAACTGAGCGTCCTTCGCGTACCTTCATTCCAAAACAGGAATAATAATGAAAATAATAAAGAAAACCGCTGCAAAACAAGAAATCATGAATAGTCATATCGTAAAATACTTGAACAACCAAAAACATCTGTTTTATTTACTCCACATTTCTGCTTAACCTCTTGGTCGAAAGAGAGGAACTATTCCAGTTTAAGCTGAACTTAACATAAAAATTCTCTGCGGAACAGAGAAATGAACGAGGAACAGAACTAAAATGGAAAGTTCACATAATGAAGACGAGTGTAAGATACAGGTGAGGCCGATACCCTCGTCTTGCAGACTATCTCTTGATCGCTGCCTGCTGTAATATCTCCCAGACATTTCGTTTTTTGATTCACATTCTGCTCGCACGGGAAAATAGGAAGAGCTTTGAAGTTTCAGATTAGGAAGGAGAATACCTAACGAAATAGAAAAGGAGGAAGAAAAAAAAACCTGAGATTCTGATCTTTGCATCGCTCTTTGCAGACAAGTAGATGCAATTTCCATTTGATTCACAAATCACGCTCCCCCCTTCGACTTCGACGTTACAGTTTCCTGATTTGTCGTTAGGAGGAAAATGAGAAACTAAGAAACAACAGACCGAGAGATCGAGATGATATTTGAAATCTTTCAACCATTTTTCAGTAGACATTATAATCGATTGGCAAAGTCCTCTTAAGTATACGAATTAGGGTTTTGGATTTACCGATAGAAATCGGAGAGTGAACCGAGCGCTTTCTTCCCGCCATTTTGGCTTCTTGGCTTCGGTCTTTGGAAGCAGCTCTGCGTAATGGGAAAACATATCACCCGATTTCTATGTATTTATATAAAAAAAATTATTGTTATCGTATCAGAACAGCACATATAAATTTATATGAGTCATTTAATAAGGTGTCACGTGACAACTCGGGCCCATATGTCAGTGAGTATTAATTTCTCATTTATATATCTAATAATAAAATTTTATTTTTTATACTTCTACCACCCATGGCTTTTACATAACTAAAAAATAATAGTAATTTAACTTTTAAAAATGAATTTTATATTCTCATACATAAGTAAAATGTAGGGGCAATTTGTCCCGGACCCAACATCGGAGGGGGTAGGATAACATAGGGCAAAATAATTTTTCATGAAGACTGGACTCTATCTAGGCCTGCCCTTGTTTAAATATTAAATTTTTTATTTTAGATATGTACAAACATAAAAATTAAGTGGCATGTACGTAAATTTTTATCATTCTTTATATATAAAAGCATCTCTCATTAGGTGTGTAAGCGAGTCAAGCCGTCTCGTGAGCTGACTCGAGCTCGGCTCGAAAAGTGGCTCATGAGCTGAACTTAATGAGCTAAAAGCCAAGCTCGAGCTAGTCCTTACCTGCCTCGTTTTAAAAAATACTAATATAAAATATACTAAAAAGATATTAAATTTCAAGACTTTATATTTAAGTTATTAAAAATTAATAAATAAAAAATAAATTTTTTTATATTAAGTGATGTATTATTATTTATCTTTCTCACTGCTAATTTTATTTGTCATTTTATTACAACACTAGTTTCTTTCTTTTGTAATAGACAAATCGGCTCTAAACCTATGCTCGAGCTCTAACTCAAATATTTATTGATACATTTACAACAAATTCTCATCATACTACAGAAATATTGAAGTGTCGCAAAGATCTAGAGATAATCTTTCGAGCAAAAAATATTCAAATTTTAATTAAAATTCATCCAAAACTCAAATTGAGAGGCTCCAAGAGAAGAACATAATGATACCAAAATTGATCTATCCCAAACCAAAGAAAACCTGCGAGGCAATGCCACGGATATCTCTTGACATTTAAGTTGCTTTCTGCTATACTTATATATTGTAGATATGTAAATAATATACAATGCTGTTATAATATATATAGTTATAATATATATATAATCCAGCACATAAATCCAGACATCGCATGGATCTCAACATAATTTTTGAGAAAAAATATTCAAACTTTAATTAAAACTCATCCAGAGCTCTGATTTCAACAAATTTATAGTCAAATTAAGTGGCTCGGTAAGACGGACACAATGATACCAAATTTGGTCTAGTCTAAACCAAATATAACCCCAATCAAGATGCTAAACCATGTTTAGAGGTTTCTTGGATACATTTGGAAGGTCAAACGGATGTCGAATTCAGCGAACTCATAGTCGAATCGAGTGTCTTAATGAAACGAATCCAACGAGCCAAAGATCACTCAATTATGACATCATTAAAGCACTTAAATGTTCATCAAACACCACTGATCAAATGAAGCATTCTGAGCCGTCTGATCAAAGTGGTTTATATTCCTGCAATAATTGCACCCAATGCTTTACAAATAGAGCCTCCACCTCTCTTGTGAGAGTGGGGAGAGCTTGAGGCTTGAGGATGAGAGCTTGAAGCGTTGAGAATGAGTTGAAATCCAGCACACATGCCGTTGTGGACCACCACCTGCCTGTATCAGCAGATCATCATCAACCACCGTCCACTTCCTGCAATAAGTTCATTTATGCACCGACATTGTAACTCTAAAGAGTGTTCAACCCTTTCTCGCCTCTAAGACGAGGGAGTGTACATGAGTTTATACTGAAATTCTTCAGCTAGGTCAACTCTGTGGGTTTTTACTTTTTTTGGGTTTTCCATGTAAAAACTTTTGTTGTTTTCTTTTTAATATGAATGTGTTAAATTCTCGTGCAAGGTAAGCCAAAGATCTATCACTCTACCGCCGTGAATATTATAGCACACATCACTTATCAAGCTCAAGCTCAAGCACAAGCCGAGAATGACTTGAGCCAACCCACTCTCAGCTCATTTTATTCCCTCTCCCATAACTCTTACTCTTCTCATCAAATAGTAGATTACCAATTCATTGATTAATTATAAATCTCTAAAAAATAAAAAATAATAATAATAAAGCCAATAAGTTTTAAACAAGCTAGTATAACACTTGAATATTTCATGTCACATCTAGAATACTATTAGTTTAACTTTAAAAGGTGAATACACCTTTCCATACATAGATAAAGTGCTACAAATATAAAAATTAAATTTTATATGTTAGAAATGCAAATAGATAAGAGCATGTATTATGATTGTAAATCTTCCTCACAATTTCTTATTTATTCGATTTGTTTGTTAACTTGATATTTTGGTAAGAGTTAATGTGCATGTTTGATATTATCTAGTTTGCCATTGAGGTTGAAGAATTGAAGAAAGAGGGAGTCATAACAACTTTATAACACATTTCTTATTTATAGTTTAAATTGATTGCAATAAAATCTATTGTTAAGTTGTAAATTTTGATCGAATTCATCATTATATTAATTTGATAATTTATATTGAGATTAAAATAATTCAAATACTAACACAAAAATAATGACCAAATTTAAGATAAGTTCATTTTGAAAGCCACAGTTTATGTTATACAAAGAGAAGAAACAAAAAAACTTATTTTTCGAGGGGCATTTACATGCATACCATCTAATAACACCTATCTATAGGGCTGTCAAAACGGTTCGTTGTTCGCGAAAAGCTCGTGTTAGGCTCGTTATGAAGCTCGTGTTCGGCTCTTTCGCTAAGTTAACGAGTCGAACACGAACAACACGAACAAATATTTGTCCGTTCGTGTCCGTTCGTGTTCGGCTGTTCGTGTTCGGCTCGTTTTGGCTCGAAATTCTACTAATTAATTCTATATATATGATGAGTAGTATTTTTAAAAAAACTAATTGACTAAAAGGCTACAAAGATTCATAATCAATTCAAAGTATTAATTAAAAAAATATAATAAAAATTGTTAAATTAGATTCAAATGATGTTTTAAATCCTGCCCCAATCCTTAATATCTTATGGGTACGTGATTAAGGTTGTCAAAACGACTCTTTGTTCGTGAACTACTCGTATTCCCCTAGCTAAGCAAACGAGCCGAACACGAGCCCCTAACGATCAATTTAGATATCTGACGTCTAAATTTTAATTTTTTTTACGTTTGTACCATTTAAAATTTTCATGACATAAAAAAAATACACCTGTTTTAACTTTTAAGAGTAAAATTCACATTTTCATGCACAAGGTGGGGACGTATGTAAACAACAGATGTAAAAATGTTAGATATCTAAATACATAAAAATTGAGTGGCATGTCTGTCAATCATTCTAAAACTTAATAGGACTTGAAATATACCCTTTAAGTTAATGCTCTCTTAATCGTATAATTGAATCAATTTAAAGTTATTTTTAATTTGATTTATTGCACTTTAAAATGAACATGCAATATATTTAAATTAAAATCACTTAGAATTCTTCTCACAACGGAATAGTTTTATTAAAACAGCAATATTCTCCTTTATTTAGACTTATAGTTTATTATATATA